TTTATGGCCCTACAATGGGTTTTAACTTTTAATTATTCAATTTAAAAATCAATTTCAAAATCTGATAATTGCATCTTTCCTTCATATAGATCAACTCACATTATACATCTTTAATCACACTACAGAGTAACTTGCAGCGGTTAAGAGAAAATGATTGGTTCTCATTGCCCACGTACATAATGGTCGTTTAATTATACTAACAACCAGTTAAAAGAGATTAATTAGGTACAGAGTTTTAACTTTTTCTTACCAATAATTATCTTCTTTCTACATTTTTTCCCACCAAATATTATTAATATTGGACCTCACATCTAAAGCTTTGGATACTAAACTAAGTGAAAACAAAGAGAAGATTCTCAGTCTTGAATGAAATAAAGGTTTGATAAGCCTCGGCCCTCAATATGGATAAGTGAAGATAATTTGCCCACTTGCTTATCAAATATAAAAATATCACTTTCTTTTTCCCTACATATAATTTAATTTTCATGCATTTGCCATATATAACAGCTATGTTTTGTCTTCATTTGTAACATGATAAGAAAAATATAATAATAGTAAAGAACAAAGGCCATTGAGTTTTAAAATGGTATTTGAGATTATTTATATTGGTGTTTATTGGCATTTGTGAGTTTGGACAACTATAGCTTGTTACCTAACATGTACTATAGTACTAAAGGTGTGAATATCACATATTTAAATTGTTGAGGACTGATGAAAATAAAATATAACATTTTAAAAGCTAGGACTCTTAGAACATGTCCGGGAGAACTAAATCTTATCTAAAATTGTTAAATGAGTTGCTCGTGAGCTTGAATTCGTTCGAGTTTGTATAAAACACGTCCAGTTAACGAGCCAAGTTGATCGAGTTCATCTCATTAAGACTCGATAATAAGAATTATTATCCATTTTTATGTGTTTTCGTCTTATCTCGGTTAGTTAAGGTTCGAGTTTATTTTATTAATAATGATAAATAAATGAATTGAGCTCTAAGCCTCTAACTCATTTGGTTAACATGCATTTGATTTTTATAAATGTTTTAGATCGAGCCAGGGGCGAAACCAAGAAATTAATTGAGAGGGGATAAAAGACGTGACAAAAAATTTGGGGGTGCAAAAAATAATTTAAGAGGGAGACAAATTAAATTTTTTAATTATAATAGTAAAAAAATTAAAATTTAATTGCCCCCATAATGATACATGTAGTTTCGCCCCTGGATCGAGCCCGAGTGATTGGTCGGAAAAAGTGTGTATATTATATATTTATTAGCGTATTTTTATATGCTTAGTTTTGTCGCACTTATTTATTTTTCGACTTATTTATTTATTAGATGAATTTAAGTACTATGATATATTTATGTTTTATTTTTAGGATATTGGAGGATTTTTATTGGCGACATTGCACCGAACGAATTGAGTAGACCAGTACGGGGTACCAGTACCAGCCAGATTTTTAGCCCAACTTGAGGCCCGATTGGTAAAAAATTAAATAAAAAGCCACTTAGTGAGGGGACTTACAAGAGCCAACATAATGGATGCTGAGGGAATAGGTGGGTCAAATATTTTGTTTAATAAACTTGGGCCCACCAACTTATTTTGAGAGAGCCATGAGATTTTGAGGGAATACATACTCAGGCATGCCCACGTGGGGCTTCATTCAATTGAGGCAAATAAAAGGGAATTTAGGCCATTCACGCAGGAATATATTTATTTAAGGAGGGATTATTTTACGCCCCAGCGATCATATTTTCTCACGTACAGGAGCCGCCAGACATCACGCAAAAAGAAAAAAAGAGACGCAGGAGAAAAAGATATCGGACAGAGGCATAGAACCCGATCAATCGCGGAGGGAGACTGCACTCGCACACGAAAGGGGATAATTCTATTCTCTTTCTTTTATTTTTATTTATTATGATAGCTTAGTTTTTATTTCTAGTTCCGGTGATGTTGAACCCTATGATTTGACGACGTTTAATTAATTTTCGTGGTTGATTATTGAGTTATCTTTTTGGAATTGTTTGTGTTATTTTGAATAATTCACCATGATGTGTTAGTCTTGTTTAGATTGATCACCTAGATTAGGCTTTTCATATCTACATCTAAATTAGGCCTGCAGTCCGTAATTGTTGTTGTGTTTAATTCATAAGAGGTAACCGGAAGATGGTAACTACCGGGGATAACACGGCCTAATTAAGTGAACGAACGCGGTTGAGTTCACTAATTAGTCTAGTCTATTTTTCTAATTCGTAAAGCGGCTAATTGTATTAAATCTTGAAAACGTTTTTCTAGACTGTACAAGAAGTCAGGTTTAATCGTCGAGCGTCTCGCGGTTAAATTAAAAATAAGAAAAAAATTCGGGTAACTGACCGTGTCGTTGCCTAGGGCTAGTAATTTCATAAGATAGCGAGATTTGATACTAGAATTGATTAGACGAGTCAGTCGAGGGTGTAGACGGAACCGTGAACTAGAAGCTTTCTCTTATTTTATTTATTGTTATTTTTATTTTATTTGTTTAGATCTTATTTATTTTAGTTAGTTTAGCTATTAAATCACAATCCCCCCTCTTTTATTGCTTTCATAATTTCAATTAATACGAGAAAATACAAATTTGATTCACACTCCTCGTGGGATCGACCCTTGCTCGCCACTACTACTAGTTAGTAGAGGTTAGTTAAGGAAAAATATAAATATTAATTTTGCCGCGTTGCGACGCGCGGTCACCGAGCATTAGAACTTAGAAGCTACGGCTGACTATGATTTGCAAATGAGTCAAGATTTAAAAATAAGAATCATACTATAGTGACATAAGAGATAAAACAAAGTTTGATGTTAAAAACATATGTCACAATCTTATATAATTTTACATGTCACGTTACTTTTGAATCAACAACTATTAAATTTAAAATCATATTTTCTCTTCTCATGTCAACATATCCCCCTATATATTAATTGAGAACGTGCTGAGCCTATGTGGCAGGCTCGCATGCTTCGGGATCCTATGTGGCAAAAATACATGCTTGGTTATTAGGCTTGGGTAGATTTAGTTTACTTCTAATCTAAATATATTTAGGTTCAGATTATCTATAATATGTTGATTATTTATGGTAAGGGTGGACGCCGGCCGGGACGGTCCTAAATTTGACTTGTCCGGATACCCATCCCACTTTTATGAACCCGTCCATGAACGGTCCGGGATGAGGCACCGTCGACACCCATGTAATACATGGGTGTTGTACTAGTTATACTTGTTTGGAAACACTTTTCAAATGGACTTTTTTATGCAAAAGTCCATTTGGATAAATATTTATGTTTGGTGCTAAATTAAAAAAGGACTTATGAATAAGTTGTTTCTCCAAAAAGTCCATTATGTAAAAGTAAATGATTGAGACTTTTAAGAAGTCCATTTTGGACAAGTCCATATCTTAAATGGACTTTTTCTAAAAATAAAGCAACCTTGTTGGAAAATTCGAGAACGGACAAAACATAATATCTCCAATTTACTTTGTATCAGCTCATCATTTTTTTTTATCCCGAAATGATATACATTTTATAAATCAAAATGCACAAATGTGCAAATACACAGCAGCCAACAGCTGAAAATGTGGGAGGACAGGTCAGAAGCCCGCCTAGAATCCCGACTAGCAACGCTAGAAGAAAAAACACACTCACAACTAAATTAACCAACAACACAAACAACAAGAACAACCACAAGGACCCGAACGGAGTAATACCTTAGTGTCGGACCCCAACGGAGTAATAAGTTTGATATTCGGGCTCACAGAGACCAACGGCCCAAACCAAAAACACAAAACACAAACAACACAAAGACAAAACTAAAACAAGAACACAAGAAATAAATAAATCTAAAGTCCTTCCCCAGCAAACGAGTAAGCCCGGACAAGTAGTGAACGATTGACACAAGACCAATCCAGGCCAAACACCAGCTACCGAAACTGCAATCAAGCCTATACATTGGGTTTGTATTTTTATTATTTTTTTCATCATAAATTGTTATTATTTTCTATCTTTTTTACCATTATCATTAATTAGTACATCATGAGCACGCTTAAGATATTCAGTAGTTTTTAATCATGCTTTCATTTTCTCTGGCACCATTATAATCCAAACAATATATTATTGTTGTTGAAGAGTTGAAGTGTAATAATTAGAGACTTCCAACATGAATTTTGCTCTTACAATTAGAATTAATTCTTATTCTAACATAATCCCTACCACTATTCTGACCACAACATGTACTAGAACATGATTAATAGAATAGCACATAAATATATATTTATCTTTATAATGAAAACTGAATTATATATAAATGTTAGCTGAAAATAATAACATTATTTATCAATTAAATAATTTTTTTCTATTAAATTAATCATTTAATATGAGTTAAAAAATTATTAAGTGATAAAAGTGTTGTTTTCAATATAAATAATAATATAAATTTGTGAATTTTGTAAGAATGATTTAAAACATAAAATAAAAACTTCTCATATATACACGGGTGTAATTCGAAGTAGCCAATGTAAATTGTATTATATTCATACTTATTAGGAGTGTTATTCGGAGTAGCGTATTCTATACATTTAAAAATATAAAATACATGACTAGCTTTAATCATAAATATATATAAAAGTTAATAATTTTTATATTTGTTATCTGATTTTTATACATAATATATCAAGTAAATAAGTTTGTTCATCTTTATTCATACTGATTAAAAGTTAATAAAATTACATATCAATTGAAAAGATATCTATAAATTTCATTACACATAAATTAAAAAAAAGAATATCATACTATAAGACCGAGAAATAGTAAGTGAAAAATATAAATAATAATGTATTTTTTTAAAAGTATTTGAAATTTAAATTTAAAAAAAAAAAACTTTATTTCATAGTTTTTTTAAGAATTTCATTATAAATTTTTTTACTAACACCTTTGTAATATTAAAAGTATTATTTAAATACAACTTAAAATTTCACTCAATAAATTTTGTTCAAAATAGTTCATTTTTATTCAATTAAATTAAAACAAAAATATTTTATGCTCAACCACACATGAGTACAAAAATGGTGCCACCCAAAACTTGAACTCCCATCAAACTGTGATATCTTCACCTCCTATTTATTGCACTGCAATTTTGGTCGCTGAAAATATCTGCCCATCTCATTTCATTGATTATTTTCTCAATCATTAGCTAAGAGCTTCAATTTTTCTCAAGGAAAACGACAGCCATGGCCGACGGCAACCAGGACATAGAGAACGGCGAAAACCGCGCTCTGGAAGAAATCAGAGCTCCGCTTATCGCCGGAGATGACGATTCGGGGCGTTCATTGAAGGGCAAAAGCTGCGAGGAAGAAAGATGCATGGTGTATTTGAGTACATTTGTTGCTGTTTGTGGGTCTTATGCTTTCGGATCTTGCGTATGTCGTGGTGGCTGCTTATGAATCGTACAATGATTTCTTTTTTTTTTTTGCTTGTTTATTTTTAAGGTTTTTGGTTAAAGATGGCATCTTTATCATCTTTTTTCGGTTGATTTTTGTTTATTATTTGGGTTTATAGGCAGGATACTCGTCGCCCACACAAGCTGCAATCAGAGAAGATGTAAACTTGTCATTAGCAGAGGTTGGTTTTGTAGTAATTTAATACTATTATTATTATTATTATCATCATCATATATGTTTCTGCAAATTCTGTATATTTAGTCTAAGTTTTGAGAGCAAATAAGTACTACTTTTGATGGGGTGAATAGATGAAAATAATCATTAATCCATTTTCAAGAGTAGTGTTAAAAAGCTCATTGTGGGTTTTGAGTTTTAGCCTTTTTGCTTATGATGGTTTTGCTCGATTTCATTAGAGAACGAAAATTGTCGATTTCTCATCGATTTTTTATTTTTATTTTTAAATTATAGTAGCCAACTTGTGTTACTCAACTAATTTTGAGCTTCTGTTACAATGAATCACTTGTTTTGAGAGTTAAAAGTAAAATTGTGTGTCTTTTTGAAGTACTCGTTGTTCGGCTCCATATTGACTTTCGGGGCAATGATTGGTGCAATCACTAGCGGCAAAATTGCCGATTTTATCGGTCGCAAAGGGGTGAGTAAATTCATTCGAACCCAGAAAACATATGTCACAACCAGTTTATAATATAATGTTGATCTTGACATTTGAATGTTGGAAATGGAATAACCAGGCCATGATAGTATCGAGTTTATTCTGTACAGCAGGGTGGCTATCCATTTACTTTGCCCAGGTAAATATAAGTAATAAGGAAAAACATAAAAACATTTATTAAGGTTTCTTTTCATTAGATGCATCAAAATTAGTTATTGATTTACCAAGTTATAAGCCTTAAACAATTTATGCAGGGGCCTGTGCCTTTAGATGTTGGGAGGTTAGCAACTGGATATGGGATGGGAGTATTTTCTTACGTGGTAAAAAAATTGCTGTCCTGGCTGATAAATATGTCAATCTGGGCTACTTTTTTCGTTTTCTATTTTTTTTTCCCAATGATTTATTATTATTATTATTATTATTATTATTATTATTATTATTATTATTATTATTACTATTATTATTATTGTTCAGGTTCCGGTATTCATAGCTGAACTTGCTCCCAAGGATTTACGAGGAGCTTTGACAACCATTAATCAGGTATTCAGGTTAATGCTATTTGCAGATTCACTCTTTGACTTTCTTGGGATAAAAAGACCACAAGAATGTGGAAGTTTGAGATAAATCTAAGTACAAAAAAGTCAAGTTCACGTTAAAAAAAATGCCGTGAATGTTTTGTATCTACTTAACAAATATCTCATATTACAATTTGTAAAACACAATATAAAAAAAAGCATAACTGAGTTTTTATTGTTTTGTGTGTGTGTGTCTGTGTTTGACAAAGTTCGATTTTATTCACTCCTTTCGTCTCTGCAGCTTATGATTTGTACGGGAGTATCCGTTTCCTTCATCATAGGCACATTGTTAACATGGCGAGCTTTAGCTCTAGTAGGTAAAAATATTATGCAACACATTCAAGTTAATGTTTTCAAGTAATAGAGAAAAAAGAAAAAAAAAAAAAAAAATTCTCATTTCCTTTTTTCCTTTTCTAATACTTCAATTAGTATAAATGACTTCTCGAAAAACTTATGCAGGCATAATCCCTTGTGCTGTTCTGCTTTTCGGTCTGTGCATCATTCCAGAATCTCCAAGGTGGTTGGTAAGTATCTTGACGCAAGTAATTTTGGATTATTATTACCATGATACCGTAAAAATCTCGTGTAAAAATCTCGTTGAAGTAAAATTATTATCTTTCAAGGCAAAACAAGGAAAACAGAAAGAGTTTGAAGCTTCTTTACGTAGGCTTCGTGGGAAGAATGCCGATATATCTGCTGAGGCAGCTGAGATTCAAGTATCTATCTATACTCTTAAACTCCTAATTCTTACCATTTCACTTCATTCATTGATCATCTTATAGAAATAGACGATAATCTCTCTCTCTTTTTTTTTTTTTTTTCCCTCCTCTTTTCCTATTCAGTTGATGTATTGCTTCTGGGCTTTAGTTACCTAAGGAAAGCTTTGAGCTATTGAAACTGTGTTTGTTCTGTTTTTATTTTTGCACGTGTCTGGTCCATTTTGAATCTTGCGTAATTCCAACTGCTGTGAATGTCTGAATGGAAGTGCTATGTACTTTT